CAGCTCATTAAATGTTGAGGCGACAATAGAATCACTCAACTTCGAATGCTGATTTTTCAGCTTATGACACTTTTCGCAATTCTTTGCTGTACGACAAATATCTGCATTTAATGACTGTCGAGAAATGTAGTCAACATGTTGAATTTGCTTGGCACTCCCGTGCTGAACCATTTTCATACTTCCATTGCACTTAGCACACGTGGCTGTCAAATCTTTAAGTAAAGCATCAGAATTTTCTTTAGAAACTAGGAAAGACAACTCCACTTTAAGTCTTCTCAAATTCTTTAAACCCAGTATTGACAGTCCTGTTTCACTAACTAAAAATTCACAAGGTATATATGAGGAATTATCATCTCTTATTAGCAATTCACAACATCCTCGTATAGGCAGTTTGTGTCCAGTAATCCCCAATATTGATACTTCAGTGGGTCGTATCACAACGTTCGGATCTAACAATTTCAAATTCTTGAATGAAATAATGGACTCTATACTGCCTGTGTCCACAATAAAGTCATGACATGAACCAAGCGATGTATATAGTCGCTTTCGAATATGAGCATTACCTTTTGAAATGGTAGTTAAAGATAAATGATCATTAGGATCAGCTGAATTATTGGGATCTAAATTACAAGATTTAGTACTACTTGAGGCAAAATGAACAGTAGCTTTGCATACTGCTTGAATGTGTCCTATCTTACCACATCTAAAACATTTAGCATTACGAAACGTACAATAATAACGAGAATGAAGTTTTCCACATGATAAACATTTGCCAAACTTGGTCTCACCTTTTTGATTTCCTTTGTAATTCTTTTTTTAGACACCGTTCATTTTTACACGAGAATAGGAACCTCTGTTAAACGAACACAATTTTGATTGACCCTGAGATTGCCTTTCATCATGACAACTAATCAAAGTATTGGAAATCTTCATCGACTGAATATCAAGTTCATTCAACGCCTCGTAGTTAATGCACGCAGTTCTAACATCTTGAAAGGAACAGTTTGACATTCTTAACAGCTCTCTTTCCAAACTAGGTATGTTAATTCCTGCAATTAATCGGTCTCTCAGCTGCACATGAAGTTGATCACCAAAATTACATTTGACAGCCTGTTTCTGCAATTCAAGAATGAATTCCTTAACATTTTGGTCATTTTGACGAATCATCTTATGAAACTCTCGCTCTTTCACGGCATTCAAAACCAGGGCACTTTCCATGATTCAATAATAACTCCTTAAGCATTGCATAGGGAAGTGAAATAGTTTTTTCTGGATATGCCAAGGTTTTCATAAGCTGTACGCTTCTTTCCGATGAATGTTAGCAAATGAGCCACAATTTTATCATCTTTGACATCTTTCCTGGTCATACTCCAGATTTCAAACCTTTCCAAATAATCATCAAAAGCTTCAGAAGTAGAATGAATATCTAGCTGTTCCATTACAAGTTCAATCGCGACGCTCATGTGATATTAGAAGTATGGATTCAAGAATTAAAGATTATGCACAAACGAATGTATTTTATTTAGAATTCGAAAATCAAGCATTCAACAACAACAAGAAGTTACTAGTTCATTCAAACACCACATTATTTTCAAACAATAGTATGTTACAAGATGCATGCCAGTTTAAAGGCTAGATCAAACTGTCACAAATGCTTACAGATATACCACAAAATTTATATCAGTTAAATCAGGTATAAATGTCAGTTTCTGATATTACATTTACACCATATCACTAACAAAAACATTTAAATGCAGCCACATCGTCAACAGGATAGTACAGATAAGAAGGTACGCAGGTTTGTTGCGTGATTTGCTTGGTAAACTCGTGACAAGCAGTCACAATCAAACTACAAACA